TTGGTACTACAAGCACTTCCTGTATCTGTTTGCCTCTTTAAGAAGAATCACTTTATGTATCCCCCAACTGTAAGTCGCTTTGGATAAAAGCGTCTGCAAAATGACTAAATGTAAATGTAAAAACATATTTAATGTGCGTCTCATTTGCATATTTAAACATGTCAGAAAACTTGTAATACAAAAAATGCTGGCAATTCTTAATGTAATCAATCAACTGGGAAAGTATGGTGATATTACAGTGTAAAAAATGTTCTAAAATTTACGGTAAAAAACCGGCAGCTGTGGTTGCCGGAATTTTACCGTAAAAACTACGTTAGCAACGTTTTAGGTTTTACGGTTTTAACTTAAATTTACAGTTAAATACCGTAATTTCATTAACTGACATAATGTTAATATACCAACCTATTGAAGTACTGAAATCTGTTTTGTACCTTTGTAATACACTGATAACCACCAAATGCAGGAGGTGATGAGAAAGTCACATGATGAACCAAAGCCCATCACAAGCAGCTTTTAAATAATAACATATATAGAAGGTGCACAGTGTCATTCACACAAACGCTAAACACCATCATGGTAACACACATGAAACTGAAATAATGCAATAAACATTTATTTAACAACATTAGGTGTAACACACAACCCTAATATACAAAACTGATAAGAAAAAACTAAGAAGAAACATAGTTATTTCAACAAAAAAACATTGAATGTGAAATGTAACGCAGGGAATTCCGGGAATGTCAATTTACGGTTATTCACTGTAAATTATACAGCCTTTTTCACTTCCAAAAACGGTATACTACCGTAAAATTAATGTCCATTACATGTAATGTCCAATACAGTTTTTCACCGTATATAGTAGGGGAATTTACCGTTAACCATTTAACAAGTTTTTTATATCTATCATTTTTACAGTCTTTTACCGTTAATTCACGGTCATTTTTTACAGTTTCAAAATTTACCCATGGTGTGTACACTGTAAAAAAAAAAAAGTCTGTATTTTTACATATTTACAAAAATGCTACAGTAAAAAACATGTTAATTGGTTAACTCTAAGCAGTGCTGGGTACATTACTTACAAATTGTAGTCCTTTACTGATTACAAATTACATAACGGAAATTGTACTTAGTAACGTAATCTGTTGGATTACACATATTAGGTAATGTATTCTGACTACTTTTTGATTACTTTTAGATTACTTTTGACCTATCTCATGAGAAAATATTTTCTGTTCTTTGTTATCAACATCAAGAAGTGTCAAGAAAATTAATATTTCAAATAATTTAACAACACATTTGCATGCTCTCTGATGTCAGTTAATGGTCATATTTTATTTATTTATTTATTTTCTATAACAATAATCCCATTTAAATCTATAAACAAGTTAGGTCAAAAGTCATCTAAAAGTAATGCGCAAGTAGTCAGAATACATTACTTAAAATGAGGAATCTAGATTACATTACTGACTACAATTTTCATCATGTAATTTGTAATCAGTAACAGACTAAAATTTGCAAGTCACCCACCCAGCACTGTGTATATGTAATCATGTAATCCAAAAAAAGTAACTGTAATCTGATTGTGAGCACTTTAAAATGTAATATAATCCAATTACTACTACTTAATTTTTGGAATCTGATTATGTAATCCAGATTACATGTAATCAGTTACTACCCAGCACGGCATTTTAAGACAAAAACACTACAAATGATTTAACATTGCATGCATGTAATTTTACTGTAAACTAATGTCAGATTCATGGTTATTGCAACTTAGTGAAAACTATGAATTACACTCTTCCAAATGTTCCAAAACTGTGTTTTCACAGTGATAACATAGAAAAACAATTATTGCTTCTCCAAAGAACCTTTCAATGATCAGTTCTTTAAATAACCATAAAGAACCTTTTTCCACTATTAAGAGCCTTCCATGGATGTTAAAAGTTCATCCATCAAAGTCAATAAAGAAGCTTTATTTTTTTTAAGAGTGCACCATCTAAAAGCAGTAAAAGGACATTCCCAGTATTTTACCATAAATCTAACATTTTTTACAGTGTGCAAACAGTCCATTGAGACGTCTAGAGAGCTCCAACAGAACAAAACAAGAGAAAATAAGCACACATTTTCAAAGAGTATCTTCAGCTCATGCGTGACTCTGCTGTGAGCATCTGAAGGGCTTTTAAGAGACGACCTCTTCTCATTCTCCTGAAATGAATAAACACATCGTGCAGCCATAACCACAAAACAATTGCATGGCAAAATGTCATGTTCTCCCCGCAGGCCTATCAAAGCGCAGGCGGATTGATTCGCTCGATGGAGGCACGGTGGAATCCTGCAAGGCTCTGTCCTGGGACCAGTTAGATTCTCCTTATGCCATCTTATTGATTGAAAATAAGAGTTGTAGTGGGGTTGTATTATCATCAGAGGAGCTAACATGCTCCATGCCACAGATGGCTGGAGAAAGACAAGGGACCAGAGAAGTTCATAAGTGCTTTTAGGGTCAGAGTAATTGTTATTCTCCACAGCTATGATGTAGTTTGTAATGACATACCAGCGGACCACCAAGGGCTCGCCAGGCTTCTCATTTGGAGCTTATATCCAAACCAGAGGAATTAATTTACTGGAAGCCAATTTGAGCGAGGAGAAAAGTTTCCTGCATTGTTACTCTGAGGCTTGTTGTTAGTTTCTAAGCTGAGGAGGAGAAATGAGTAAGAGCGATCAAACAAGAGGTGTGAGAGCGCAATCGTGTGAAAGTCTCGGGTCTGGACGGGTTTTAACGATGTCAGATTTTTCGGCTGGATGACGACAAACCAACATAATGAGCCGATCAGACGTCAGACATAGAGGTGAGACGTCCTAATCAGACAGACACGTCTTTGAGAAGAGACATATTTAGCATCCACTTTCTAATAAAGAGATGATTGGAGAGTGACGGACAGTTTCAGAGTTTGATAACACCTGATGCATCAGATCAATCCCCAAATCATCCAAACGTTGACAGATCCACTGCATCACATCAGTCACGCCATTTATTTTGCATTTCACCATAACACATAATACATTTAAAACGTGCAAGAAGCAGCCAATAAATTATTACAAAATTAGATTTTTTAAATTCAGTTCTTGGTCATTGTTTTAGAACATTAAACCACTTTAAGTGTTTTAGTGTTACTTTTCTTGCAATTTTATTCTCTTAAGACTTTTAAGAGTTTGACTTTTACTCCCTTAAGTTTGAATTCTGTAATGATATGACTTTCTTCTTGAAATTGTTCTTTTTTTATTGGCACACAGCACTAAAAAGCCATCGTAGTACTAAACTCGTAATAGTAATTTCATTTCAGATCATTTAAGATGCTGTGAAGATCACTTTATACTGAACCTTTTGTTTGGCGCAAAATTAAATTTTTAAAAAGAAACAAAAAAAAAAAAAAAAAAAAAAACTATGCAGACATAATAATAAACTAATAAAAAACTAAAAAATGACTAAACCTTTGAAATTTAAATGAAAACAGACAATAGAAAAATAAAAATGAATTCAAAACAGTAATAAAAACTAATAGTAGCTCAATCATTCTAAAAAATCCCCACTGCCCTGTAGAAAAAACCAGCATTTGCTGGTTAGGTATGTTTTGACGCTGGGATGCTGGTTTAAGCTGGTCCTTTGCTGGTTTATGCTGGTCCTTTGCTGGTTTATGCTGGTCCTTTGCTGATTTAAGCTGGTTTATGCTGGTCCTTTTGCTGGTCCTTTGCTGGATTATGCTGGTCCTTTGCTGGTTTAAGCTGGTCCTTTTGCTGGTTTATGCTGGTCCTTTGCCAGCACATGACCAGCAAAATGACCAGCATAAACCAGCAAAAGGACCAGCTTAAACCAGCATCCCAGCGTCAAAACATACCTAACCAGCATATGCTGTTTTTTTCAACAGGGTGGTTTGAAGTTTTGAAGTGTTGCTACAACTAGAGAACATACTGATGTTTTGTTTCCTTTAATTCTTTAACTGGTCTTTAAAAAGTCTTAAATTTACCTTTATATAACATGCAGAAACCCTGTAGTACATTTCACAAACAATTACAAAGAAACAGCAAGTAACACATTGAATTAAAGTTACACATTGACGTAGAACATGTAGAAAAAATTATATTTGACAGGTATGTTTGCATATATGGTGATTATGTAAATATTTTTTCATGCTTTGTTGTTTTGCAATGTTGAGTCAGTTGTTGTTTTTTTGGCGTTGATCAACAGTTATAAAAAATAACTCTTGTAAATCATGTAACTCTTTGTTTTTAACTTTCAGACAACATTCAAAGTTGGTTGTGAAAAACTGGATTTCCTTGTTATGTTCTGTTAAAGCATATACATGAAGGAACTAATGTTTGATTGTATTCCTCAGTCCTGTCTCGCAGGTTCTGATCAGTGACTTTATATGAAGGAATGCTTGTTTTATTTTTTTACTGAATTCCAAAAATACAAAACAATCCAGTAGGTTTTCTTGACATTTAACAAACACTGTAAATCCAAATAAGGAGATACAATATTAACGGCATTAAAACAAAACAAAAGGACATCACAACATTAAATTCATTTAAAATGTAACTTTTTTAATGCTTCTTCAAGACGATGGGTCCATCTAGTGGAAACACACGACACTGCAGCATCCTGAGGACAATAACATAAACATGAACAGATGAAAATACATTGATATTTGTCATACTGCACATACAAGACCTCAGTTTCCACACGTTTTCATATCCCATATAACTCGATATTGCTTCATACTAATAACGTGTATTCTATACTTCGCCTAGAAATAAATAACAAGATATCAGCTTGTTATTCGCTTGGGCAAAATAAATCTGTTTCCCGAGCCTATTATAGAGATCGACAGTAGAGAGTAGTGCGTTAAAGTGAAAGAGATTCCCACTGTTGACTCACACTCGATTCGAAACAAACGAAACGAAAACTTACCGTCAAAGTTTCGTTTGTGGATCCAGCAAAAATGGCAGCTGCAGCTTTATACGATCGGGAATCTCTCAGGTGTTCTGTCTGTCTGGATGTCTTCAGAAACCCAGTCATTATTCCCTGTGGACACATTTTCTGTAAGGACTGCATTACAGGTTTGTGGGATAAAGATGTGCGCAGATGTCCTCAGTGCAAACTAACCTTTCCCAACAAACCTGTTGTCACTGACTGGCTGCAGATGAAGGAGCTTTCTGAGAAACTGATGAAGATGAGACCAAAGGAGGAAGATGATGAAGATGCTGAAGCACATGAAGTCAGCTGTGATTCCTGCACCTCCAGAAGAACCAAAGCTGTGCAATCCTGCCTCACCTGTGTCTCCTCATTCTGCAGAAGTCACCTGGAGAAGCACAATGATCTCCACGGATGGAAGAAACACCTGCTGACCGAAGCCACGGATCTTCAGAGCAAAACCTGCTCTCTTCATGAGAAACTGATGGATGTCTTCTGTCGCACTGATCAGAAGTGTGTCTGTCTGCTGTGTGCTATACATGAACACAAGAACCACGACAGCGTCTCAGCTTATCTCAGGTGTTGCGTCTGTCTGGATTTCTTTAAAAATCCAGCGATTATTCCCTGTGGGCACATTTTCTGTAAGGACTGCATTACAGGTTTGTGGTATAAAGATGTGCGCAGATGTCCTCAGTGCAAACTAACCTTTCCCAACAAACCTGTTGTCACTGACTGGCTGCAGATGAAGGAGCTTTCTGAGAAACTGATGAAGATGAGACCAAAGGAGGAGGATGATGAAGATGCTGAAGCACATGAAGTCAGCTGTGATTCCTGCACCTCCAGAAGAACCAAAGCTGTGCAATCCTGCCTCACTTGTGTCTCCTCATTCTGCAGAAGTCACCTGGAGAAGCACAATGATCTCCACGGATGGAAGAAACACCTGCTGACCGAAGCCACGGATCTTCAGAGCAAAACCTGCTCTCTTCATGAGAAACTGATGGATGTCTTCTGTCGCACTGATCAGAAGTGTGTCTGTCTGCTGTGTGCTATAAATGAACACAAGAACCACGACAGCGTCTCAGCTTCTGAGGAAAGAGCAGACAGACAGGTAGATCCTCACTGATTGATAATATCTGAGGTCTGTCATTACATGTTCTCAACCAGAGGTCCCTGGCTTAAATTTGTCATTTTGTTGATATCTTCTTGGTGAAAGAAATATGTAAGTGAAGTAGAAAGCATTTTGTAGAAGGGGTCAAAATGACAATTCAGAGCCAAATTACAGGAGGGTAAAAATGACTTCAGAAAGATGGCAGCATCATAATGTTATTTTTACACAGAGATTGGTAGCTCTATTAGTAAAATCTGTTGACTTTAGCAATCTGTTTTGCATTATATGACAATGGAGGCAGTTCAAAAATAGGAAAAAATTCACTTTTTGTGTGCTTTTCCCCACAGTTTGCGTGCCTGTAATTCAAGAAGTGTTAAAGATATCTCAAAATCCTTATTTATGCTGGTACTTAATAAACTTTCCTCCTCTTATTTTTATTTTTAAGGCTGTATATGGCTCATTCCCAGAGATATGGGGATCAAAACGCGGCTGCATGTGGCTTATTCAATGTCAACCAGAGATTCCTGACTCCATTTTTTAAATTTGTTAATAATTTTTCTGAAGAAAGACAAGCATAAATAGCAATGAAAGCCCAAATATTAAATGTCACAGATGTATATTTACTGAGTAACGCACTATTTTGTAGAGGAGGGTCAAAATTACAACTTTCAGATTCAAAGCAAAACTACAGGAGAATAAAAATGACTTTAAAATCACTGCAGCATCATAATGTTATTTTTCCACAGAGATCGGTAGCTCTATTAGTAAAATCTGCTGACTTTAATCATCTTTGCTGCATTATATGCCAACAGTGACAGTTCAAAAATTGAAAAATGCACTTTTTGTGTGTTTTCCCCAAAGTTTGTTTATCTGGAACACTCAAGAAGCAATAAAGGGTTAGTTCACCCAAAAATGAAAATTACCCCACGATTCACTCGCCCTCAAGCCATCCTAGGTGTATATGACTTTCTTCTTTCAGATGAATACATTATATTGAAAAGTTATATTGAAAATGTCCTGGCTCTTCCAAGCTTTATATTGGCAGTGAATGGTTGCAGAGATTTTGAAGCAAAATAAAGTGCATCCATCCATCATAAAAAGTGCTCCACACGGCTCCAGGGGGTTAATAAATGCCTTCTGAAGTGTTTGTGTAAGAAAAATATCAATTTTTATAAACTATAATCTCTAGCTTCCACTAACTATCATACTCGTGTTCACAAGAAAGTGGCGTTCCAGCTTGAGCGCGAGTGAATCATGGGGTAATTTTCATTTTTGGGTGAACTGTCTCTTTAAATATATCTCAATGTCCTTTTAAATTTTAGTTCTTAACAAACTTTTTTTTTTTTACATCTACATTTAAGGCCCTGTATGGTTCATTCCCAGAGATATGGGGATTTTCATGTGGCCACGTTGTGGCTCCTTGAGTAAATTGTTAAATTGTAGACATTTTCAGTGGTCAAAAACCAAATGTGGGTCGATTTGCATACAGATGATACTCTTTTCCTTTTAAAGAGGAACGTCTGAACAGCAAATAATGTTGAAACTAGAAATGTAACTTGTTTCATTCTATCAAAACAGTTGCATGTTTGTCCCAAGTTTGCATGCCTGTAACTCAACAAGTATCAAAGATATCTCCGTATGATTTTAGATTCCCTCTTTAAATACAATAAGTGTCAGCTGAATGCAAAATGAACCACATTTGGTTTTCGACCACTGAACATGTGTACAATTTACTCTTGGAGCCACATTAAAATCCCTTATATCTCTGGAAATGAATCATATGGCCCTTAAAAATCAAGTTACTAAAAGAACATAAAAAAGGATATTAAGGTTTCTTTAATACTTCTTGACTTACAGACACACAAACTTCAGGAAAACACAGAAAAAGTGCTTTTTTCCCCATTTTTGAACTGTCACCATTCGCATATAATGAAACGAAGATTGCTAAAGTAAGCAGATTTTACGAATAGAGTTACCAATCTCTGCGTGAAAATAACATTATGATGCTGCCATCTTCCTGAAGTCATTTTTACCCTCCCGTAATCTGGCTCTGAATCTGAAAATTGTCATTTTCAAAAATGTCTTCAAAATAGTGGATTATTCAGTAAAAATGCAACCATGGCATTTAATATTTTAGCTTTCATCATGATTTATGTTTGTCTTTCTTCAGAAAACAAAATAAAAAATTTGAGCCGGTTGATTTGACACAGAATGACCCATATGTCTTTGTCAGATACTGGTTAGTTCAGATTATTTGTGAGCATGCACATTTATTTCTGCAGATCTTAGAAAGTCTCAATTCATCCTTGCACAAATTAAAAAGGTCTTAAATCACAGCAGAAAGTCTTAAATTCACAAAGTCATCGCATTAAATGTTGCATGCACTGCAAAAAGGAGTATCTTCCTCAGTATTTCTGTCTTGTTTTCCAGTGCAAATATCTAAACGTCCTTAAATCAAGATGCATTTGCACTGGAAAATAAGACAAACGGTGTTGCCAATACAGCCCATAGTGTTTCCCTAGACATGTACAGTTAGAGACCACACCCTTCAATTTATTCCTTAAATCTTCATATTTACCTTCATAACACCTGCAGAAAGCCTGTATTGATAATGAGCACTTTGGACTTTTATTTCATTAAACTGAATGTATGTGGTAATCCTAGTATCTAAAGGTTAACAGTATGTGTGATTGCAAGTTTTAATAAGCTGTTAAAAGCTAAAATATATAACTCTTTTCTGTGGCCAGATGAAGTTAATGGAAACACGTGAGAAGTTTCTGCAGAACATTCAAGACAGAGAGAAGGATTTCAAAGAGCTAAAGCAGGCAGAGGAGTCCGTCACAGTGAGTATTGATTGCACGGCTCCTTTCATCTCCTCAGGAGACATCTGTTTCAGAAGAAACATCTGAGAAGCATTTGTTAGTCTATGAGAAACAATGATGTGGTAATTGAAGAGTGTTGTTTGTGGATGTTCTTGCTGTGGAACAGTGTTCAGCGCAGATGGCTGTCTCTGAAAGCGAGCGGATCTTCAGTGAAGTGCTGTGCTCCGTTCAGAAAACAAGCGTCCGCGTGAAAGAGCTGATCGCAGAGCGACAGAGAGATGAACTCAGTCGCATTGAAGGACTTCAGGCGAAAGTCCAGCAGAAGATCTCTGACCTCAGGATGAAGGTGTCTGGGCTCGATCAGTTCTTGACCACTGAAGACCACATTCACTTTCTGCAGGTACAGCATCACACACACTTACCTTCAGAGTAACAAACAAAAACTCATTTGCAGATCAAGAGATGAAGCTATTAAAATGATAATGTCTTGTAGCGAATCAGCTCATGGGGAACTATGAATAATTAATCATAACTAGTTATAATTAATTATAAATATTTAGATCCGCTGTAGATATTTACTTGACCTCTCAGGGTCAACTGTCTGTCAATTCTAAGAACGTTAATTTCCTGGTTAAGGGAAATAACTTTCTTACTGTACAATTCTACAAAGAGCTTGTAGCATAAATCTGCATGATTAAGTGACTCCAGTTATTCATTCAAAGAAAGGTTTTCCTATTAATTAATTAGAGAAGAGTCCATTTTTACTGTGCACTGTGGATTTCCTATGGAAAATGTAGTGCGAGGGGAAATTCTCAACATGGCATTAGGTCGTAAATGTATCTGGTCTAGCAAAGGTGTTGTGGTTGCCATGGGGACCAGGGGGGGCCTGGTGTCGTTGCAGACATCCTGGCACCCAGTATGTTTATTGGGTGAGGGGTCTGTGAATGTTTGTTAATCTAATGAATAATTGATTTGTTAAATCAAATGAAAAATGGTGTGTCTGATTGGTCCAGACGCTACAGTCTTCAGTTTATAAAAGAACAACACTTGCTCCTTGGTTCATTAAAAAAAATGCTTGATCATATTTAGTTTTCAATGTGTTTTTGAATTTAGGATTTTGACAAAGTTTCCAATCAATGTGGAAGATTTTAGTTTGGAACATATTTTCTTCATTCTGCATTATTTGTAATCTGTAGAATTATCCGACTGTCTGTGAAGAATCCATGTGTGAAGAATTTGAAGATCTTTACAACATTTCTGAAAATTCAAATGCATTTTTTTGCAATGTGGAGCTGCTGCTTTCTGAAATGCAAGAGCGTTTGATGCACGTCACCAAAGAGACGGAGATCAAAATCAGATCTGGAGAAGGTGAGAAGACTTCAGTAAACTCTCTCTAATCTATCTAGATTAGATTATTTTAGTATCGCTGATGCACTATTCTATTTTTTTATTAAAATATTGAATTTGTTTTTTATTTTTCTATTTTCCATTTTTAAAGTTAAAAATTTTGTTATTTTGTTTTTATTTTTAATGTGTATAAAAATATTTATTAATTTTATTTCAGATTTAGTTATTTTAATACATGAACTAAATGAGAATGGTTACCTTATCAACTAGCTAAAATACATTTTTAAAATATTTTACTTCAGTTCAAGTTTTTTTTTTTGAAGTAACCAACATTTTTTTTTATGGTTTTAGTTTTAGCTAATTATAACCCAGGTAACATTTTGATATTTAAGGATTAGTTCACTTCCAGAATAAAAATGTCCTGATAATTTACTCACCCCCATGTCATCCGAGATGTTCTTGTCTTTCTTTCTTCAGCCCCAAAGAAATTACGTTTTTTGAGGAAAACATTCCAGGATTTTTCTCCATATAGTGGACTTCAGTGGTGCTCAACGCATTGAAGGTTAAAATGCAGCTTCAAAGAGCTCTACACGATCCCAGCTGAGGAATAAGAGTCTTATCTAGCGAAACAATCGCTCATTTTCTTAAAAATAATTAAAATGTATATACTTTTTAACCTCAAATGCTCGTCTTGCTCTAGCTCTGCTTGCGCACGCGCGTCTTCGCACATTATGTAATCGCGTTGGAAATGTCACGCGCGGTTAGTTCTTCGTCTGTGTACTTCGGTTCAAAAAGGTAGGGCGAAAAACTAGGGCAAAAAATCGTTGTTTTACATTTTTTGTAAAGGGTATTTGACTTTCTTTTTTTTGCGCACATTTGCTTTGTAAACACTGGGTTGGTGCTTCCACCTACGTCATGCGTGACCTTTCCAACGTGACTTCGTAATGAGTCGAGCGAGAGCAAGACGAGCATTTGAGGTTAAAAAGTATATACATTTTAATTATATTTAAGAAAGTGAGCGATCGGTTTCGCTGGATAAGACTCTTATTCCTCAGCTGGGATCGTGTAGAGCCCTTGGAAGCTGCATTAAAGCTGCATTTTAACCTCCAACCCATTGATCCCCAATTAAGTCCACTATATGGAGAACAATCCTGGAATGTTTTTCTCAAAAAACTTAATTTCTTTGGGGCTGAAGAAAGAAAGACAAGAACATCTTGGATGACATGGGGGTGAGTAAATTCTCAGGAAATTTTTATTCTGGAACTGAACTAATCCTTTAATATCAACATAACATCAGATTTGACCTTATTTACTTTCTTAATACATGTTCCTGGTTTTATTGATTCATTAATAAATGTTTGTCCTTATAATCTTTCTTCAAATAACTTGTTCCATCTCTGAAATTACTTTTCAGCAAAAGTCCAGATAAAGTCCTCTCAAGGTTCTGCTCGGCAGGACCAGAAGGATGTTTTCCGTTTTGGGGAATCAGTGGCAGAATTTACCTTCAGTTTTCAGCACGTTCCCCTTAAATCCACATCTGTGGAGGCTTCTGGCTCAGATCATGAAGAAAAAACATGTAAACATGAAGACGAAGAGGACTATGAGCCGGTCATACCGTTACCTGATCTAGTTGAGATCTCGACTGGAGAGGACAATGAGCAAGTAGTTTTTAGTCACAAAGCCAAACTATACCGCTATGACAAAGAATCACAGCAGTGGAAGGAAAGAGACATAGGTGAGCTTAAAATACTTCAGAACGATGAAAGCAGACGTGCAAGACTCGTGATGAGGAGAGAACAGGTCCTGAAGTTATGTGCAAACCACTGGATTACTCCAAACATGAAGCTGGAGCCGATGAAAGCGTCTGAGAAAGCGTGGACATGGAGCGCTCCTGATTTTGCTGATGGAGACGGCAGCGTTCAGACGTTAGCAGCACGGTTTAAACTGCAGGAGACGGCAGACGCTTTCAAGAAATGCTTTGAAGAAGCAGTGGCCACTTCATTCACTGGAGCAGAAAGAGGTGAGCGTCTCTAATCTGCTGAGAACGAATACATGCTTTCATTTCTAATTTACTGTTCAGTACAGTCCTTTTTATGCATTTATATGGCTATTAACATGTTAATGTGCATTTATTTTTATTTACAGAATAAGAAATAAATCTTAATTTAATCTTGAAAAACTATACATATTTAGAAAAATCATAGTCTTGAGATTAAATGTTTGACCTCTGTTTTGTTATAAATATCTTACAGTGACAGTAATATTAAACTTTTTGTCAGGAGGCATGCAAAATTAAAATGTAAAAAATAGTTTCCTTCAAATGTGTAGAAACACTGAATTGCACAATTTGAGCACTGAATTGTGAGATATAAATGCTGAATTGCGAGATATGAGCGCTGAATTGTGAGATATGAATGCAGAATTGCGAGATATGAGCACCGAATTGCGAGATATGAATGCAGAATTGCGAGATATGAGCGCTGAATCCCAAGAATTGAGTGCTGAATTGTGAGATATAAACGCAATTGCACGATTTGAGTGCTGAATTTCGAGATATGAATGCTGAATTGCGAGATATGAGCGCTGAATTGCGAGATATGAGCATTGAATTGGAAGATTTGAGCGCTGAATTGCGAGATATGAGCACTAAATTGCGAGATTTGAGGGATGAATTACAAGATTTGAGTGATGAATTGCGAGATATGGGCTCTTCAGAACTTTCAAAATTAAAATTTGAAAAATTGTTTCCTTCAAATTTGTAGAAGCTTGTTTCTGCCTGAATTGCAAGATATAAACACTGAATTGCGCGATATGAGCACTGAATTGTGAGATATGAACACTGAATTGTGAGATTTGAGCGCTGAATTGTGAGATATGAACACTGAATTGCGAGATTTGTGCGCTGAATTGTGAGATATGAGCGCTGAATTGTGAGATTTGAGCGCTGAATTGTGAGATATGAACACTGAATTGCGAGATTTGTGCGCTGAATTGTGAGATATGAGCGCTGAATTGTGAGATTTGAGCGCTGAATTGTGAGATATGAACACTGAATTGCGAGATTTGTGCGCTGAATTGTGAGATATGAGCGCTGAATTGTGAGATTTGAGCGCTGAATTGTGAGATATGAACACTGAATTGCGAGATATGAGCACTGAATTGCGAGATATGAGCGCTAAATTGCGAGATTTGAGCAATGAATTACGAGATTTGAGTGATGAATTGCGAGATATGAGCTCTTCAGAACTTTCAAAATTAAAATTTGAAAAATTGCTTCCTTCAAATGTGTAGAAGCTTGTTTCTGCCTGAATTGCAAGACTAACTGAACACAGATAAACACCGAAATGCGCGATTTGAGCACTGAATTGTGAGATTTGAAAACTGAATTGTGAGATTTGAGCGCTGAATTCCGAGATATGAACGCAGAATTGCAAAATATAAATGCTGAATTGCGAGATATGAATGCTGAATTGTGAGATATGAATGCAGAATTGTGAGAAATGAGCGCTGAATTGCGAGATATGAATGCTGAATTGTGAGATATGAATGCTGAATTGCGAGATATGA